CCTCCCACCTGCTAATGCCTCCCACCTGCTAATGCCTCCCACCTGTTAATGCCTCCCACCTGCTAATTCCTCCCACCTGCTAATGCCTCCCACCTGCTAATGCCTCCCACCTGCTAATTCCTCCCACCTGCTAATGCCTCCCACCTGCTAATGCCTCCCACCTGTTAATGCCTCCCACCTGCTAATGCCTCCCACCTGCTAATGCCTCCCACCTGTTAATGCCTCCTACCTGCTGAGGCCTCTGGTTTAGGGGCGGAGCGGTCAGTGTTGAAGTTGCTGAAGTACGCCGGCTTCAGCGGATGGTCTCCTGGGATGTCCACCAGGTGAGACTGCGTGGCCTCCTTCAGCTGAGCCAGAACATGGCGCCCGCTGCGCTGAGAGGAACAGTTCACCTCAAACACCTGTGGTATAAGGAGGAGGGGGAGGGGCTAATAGATCCAATCAAGTCAAAGAGCAGCTCAGTTCTGTGTCATTCCTCCTCTGACCACCAGGGGGCAGTAAACCACCTGGATCTGCCCGTCCAGGGGGGGCTAAACACTCACAGCTGGAACAGCTGAACGTAAAAGCCTGCCGCACTTTTCAGAGTTCTAAAGCCAAAGACAGTTTTCCCACCTTGAAGCCGAGCTGCTGAGCGCAGGCATAGACAGCAGCCGTCTTTCCCACCCCTGAGGGTCCCGTTAGCAGCATAGCCTTAGCCAGCGGCTCCTTTCCTACGCCGTCGCCCTGGAAGGCGCCACAGTCCCAGAAATCTGGACGCAGGAAATAAAAATGTTTACAACATAATTAAAAAAACATCAATTATCACAAACTTTGAGGGAAAGAAAGAATTTTACCGTTTCCTTCCTCCATCCGCTGCTCCTCACCTTCAGCTCTTAGTTTCCATTTCTGCAACCAGCTGATCAAAAGGAGGAGACCCCCCCCCCCCTCAGTGTTAGCTATAGGATGGAGGAATGAAGCCGTACCTGTGAGCCCCCCCGCCCCCCGTACCTGTGCAGCTTGGTGACGGAGGCGGAGTTACCGATCACTTCACTGGAATGTTGAGGAAAATACTTGTTGGTCCAGAGATCTTCCTCCAGACGGACGTCTGGATAAAAGGAGGGAAACTGGTTCAGGTTTCCATCTAATCCGTGTTTAAATTCATCCTGAAACAAGTTTAACTTGAATGTTTATTTAAAACCAGAAAATAAAGCTGAACTGGAAAAGAAGCTGCTGAGCCGATCTTCTGCTTCTATAAAACCTGGAACTCAAAGTTAATCCAGACATTTAGAGTTTAACAAGTTTCCTGGATGAGAAACAAAATGCAGCAGATTGTTTTTAACTTTTCTGGAACGTTGCTGCAGATTTTAGCTCTATTGGACGTCAGCAGGAGCAAGGAGGAGCTACAGCTGCTGTTCTTCCACCTGCAGGACGAGCAGCTTTAGCAGGAGGAGCA